AAAGTTTGCCTACCACAACTCTAAGCCATTGACACTGCCAGACTTGGATGTCTCTAGAGCAGGAATAAGTGGTGGTTGTTGTCTTTAGTGGCAGTCCTGAACTCAGCAGGGATCTGGTATAGACATGGCTCTTGTGGGTCTGAACCACAGTTCCTCTTCTGCAACAGAGTAGTGGTAATAGTACTTCTTCCCTACCTTGCAATGGTGTTCAGGATAAATGTGTTCATAAGGGTAAGACACTCAGACATTGCACTGACTGGGGAGGTGGAAGGGAGGGTGGGGGGTGGTCAATGGAAGTACCTTAATTCTCCCCCCCCCCCCCCCCCCCGGGGGCAGGGGGAAGCTTCTGTCCAGTTTCATACTGAGGTATAGTCCTGCAGTCCCTTGAATGAGGAGTTCTGTGACTTTGCAGCCATTACGCACCATAGGAGTAATCCCCTCATGAGTAGAGGTGCAAGGTCAGCTCCTTACCCCCCGTTTGAGTGTAAGGCCTACATATGGCTATCTCAATGGGAGAGAGCAGCTGCCTCTGCCCTGCATGCAAAATTCTTCCTAGTTTAAGATATTAAGATCCCAATGTGATCAAAAATACAAATTCCTGTCTCCCATATATTCTTTTACTACTACTTCTTTCTCTCACCCTAGCTGCCATGCTGTATATCTCTATCGGACACAAAACAGCTGCCCCGTCTACACCTCCCCCCAGGTGCTAGGCTTGGGCTCCATTGCAGTTCAGCATAAGAAATTTGGTTTGTTCGGTACCTGAACATCATTACTCTCATCTCCCATATGCACTCTCAGTGCAGTAAGGGTAGGGAGGGGTGTAGGTTGTAGCCGTGTTGGTCTAAGGACATAGGCAGACAAGGTTCCTTGGGTGAATTTGTAAGGGTAAGGAGGCTTTTGTAAATAGTAGCTGCTTTATATAAGTGAAGTGATTCCACCAGAGGCAAAGACTGCTCATTGTTACAGGGTACACATTTATGCAGCTGTGCCTGAGGATATTTTGTAACAAAAGCCCTGCTTATATTGTAACAGGGGAAGTATAAAAGGATCTGTAACAGGTAACCAAAGAACTAGCCCATTCTCCAGGTTCCAAGCCTAAGAGGAACCACTGCAGGGCTGTCTGCATGTGGTCGGTCACCTCTTCCACTCACGCTGAGTTTAGATTTTTCAAAAATGATTCCCAACCCTTTAGCTCTGCGTTCTAAAATAGATTTGCATATCCTTCCTTAAAATGAAGGACTTTGGCCTTGCTTAGCACTTTGGTAATGTTGAGTATCCTGTCTAAAGAGGAACTTCTAAATTGGAGCAAACAAGGAAGAAAAAAACATTATTTTGTGCAAAAAGGCAAATAACACAACCAGTCGTTTTACTAGTTCATTTTGCTTGGATTTCAAGATGGCTACAAATAAGAAATTGTTCATTTACAGGGCCTTTATCTGTTGTTTACTCTTTCCAGAAAGTCACAATACTGTGCTGCAGCTCTGGTGGTAATTTACTGCATGCTTCTATTTCTGTGAAGTCAGAAAGTCAGCATATCCCTCCAAGCACAGGGATGTTCAAAATTTTGCCCATGTCACAGTGAAAAGCATCAACATTCATCCCTTGGGCTATCCCCCTCCTCCCCCCCCTGCCCCATTGCCACCCCCAATTGTTCCTGGGACTAGCTATTTTCATATCACTGGTGCACATGGTCCTGAATATTGATTCATTGGGAAGGATTCGGGGATGCATTATTAAGATTTTGTCTCTGTGGAAGCTTTTGTGATGACTCACTGATTTGTACTGTTCTGGGAACCAGGACTCTGTCATGCCAGGCACTGCAAAATGCAAATAAAAAAAAAAACAGTCTTTGCCCCAAAGAATTTACATACAAAGCAAGAGACAACAAGTAATTATAGACAGATGGATTAGGGGAAACAGGCAAGAACAAAAATGAGATAAAAAAACTACACTTGCAGGGTTGGATCCTCCGTTTACCTCAGGGTTGCTACAGTTATTATGAATTGCACTGGCACCAGGTAAACACTTAAAAAGACACAACCATCAAGCTCAGATTCTTCATCTAATTTGCATATAATCCATCAGTGCAGACACTGAAATAATGAACCATGCTATAACTCGAAGCTGGAAGAAATGCATTTAGGAAGGATTTTAATTATGGGAAAATGCTGACTGGGCACAAGAGAGACAGAAGGAACTAAGTTGTGAGACCTGGCTGCATCCCCACCAGCTTTAGAGGTTGTGAAGTGTGGGATATAAAAAGTCTGGGAACAGAAAGGAACAAAAAGAACAAGTGGAGAGTAGGAGGAAACAAGAGCAGACAAGTAAGTAGGGGAATGAAAACTGCTATGAATTTCACTTCAGCTGTGCTCATGGTGCTTGTATGAATTGAAAGCATCCTTGACCTGCAGCAGAAATCTTACACACTCTTATCAAAGGACAACTCCAGTATTCTGTCAATAGTGTTTCATTTATGTTAACCGCTAAAAATGAAGGTTTGGGAAGTGTCTTAAGTAGTATAAAAGCAATAATTAACAATGGCATGACTGCATTACTCACATCTGGCATAAGTAAGCTTGAGTTCTGCAAGTCATTCATTTGGAGACCTAATGGAAAATAAAGACAACTTTTGTGCATTTTGTCTCTTGTTACTGTGTGGATTTTAATGAATGATAGACTTTTTTTTTATTTAATGTATATCATCTCTACAGCCAGAATTTACCATTCCAATGAGATCAACTTTGCAGGGCTCAGAGGGAGCTATAAAAATAACTTAAAATGTCACCAATGAAGGTTCATCATTTTCTGGGACTGAGTCCCCATCTATACATGCACTTAAGGCATAGACAGAAGTGACAATTTTCCCCTGATCTGGACTCTGAAAGTGCTCTATAGCCACGACCAAACAGAAGTGCATAACTGCAGAACACTTCAAAAAGACCTAATCCTGCAACAATCTGAGCCCTCATTACACGAGGGTTCAGATGAAGGCACTCCAAAGCTGAGCACCCTCAGTAACTTGTGTCTGCACACACCAGGAGCAGGGCTGAGCTGCCCTGCTTCCTGCGCTGTTTTCAGAATGGGAGGAGGGAAAGGGAATGGGGGGCTCTCATTCTGGGGGTTTCCCTGTCAATGCTAGAAAGTGGGACAGGTAGACTGGAGCCCTCTGAGGTGTGGGGCTGTAATCCTCCCCCTCTAGCACAGCTGGGGAACCCCCAGAACAAGCTTCCCTCCCCTGCCTTCTCCCCCCTCCCATCCAGACACAGCACCAGAGCTACGAGAGGAGTTGGGGAGAGACATAGCAAAGACACAGCCCCTCTCCCTGGATTTACCTGAAATTGGAGTCCATCCTCCACTCTCCAGATCCAACAGCTAATGTCTGTTGACTCAGGAGAATCAGTCTAACTCATGGTGCTCTAGCAAAGCACCATGAGTTAGAACGGAGAGCTGCACTTCTCTCTGAGTCTTTAGGATGTCATTAATCAGTTAATTATGTCTTAAGTTGTGACTCGGGCACATGTTCAATCAATGAATGCCATGATAAAATGAGGAATAAGCCACAAAGTTATACCACAAAACATGTGGAATGACTTTGGCTTTTTTGTATCACACAACTAATTGAACATCTGGCCAGATGCGCCCCTGTGCCTAAGAGCCCCATCAATTGATGGGGCTTACAGCTGCAAGGGTGCACCACTTGCTGTGAGCCCCACAGCTGATGAGACCCACAGTGTGGGCAGCATTCCATGCACTGCCCCTGCTACAAGCCCCATCAGCTGTGGGGCTCTTAGCAGTGGGAGCTGGTCCAGGAAAAGCCCAGGGTCATTTCCCCAGGTTTCCCATGCACTGGCAATAATGTGTGATTGGATCTGATGCTGGATCCCATAATTCCGCCTTCTGCCATGCACATGTGGCATGGCAGGAAGGATGATTGCCTGGATCATGCATCAGATCTTATTGCATCTTTACCTGAATGTCTAGAGGGGCCCTCAGTGTACGGGCTGTGAGTCCTAGTGGGAAATTGGAAAATTCTCCTTTTTAAAAATTAAATCACTTGATTTTACTTCTGCCACATTTGTCAACTATTGAATGCTAAAGCTGTCATTGGCCAACTATTAAATCTTCCCAGTGCTGGATCTGGGACTGGGGTTATTTTGATTTAGGGGAGAGAGGAAGTGAGTCTGCCAAGCTAGTTATTTTTTAATGGTGGCTTCAAAAGTTAAGGGACAGAAGAGCTGAAAGAGATGGGTTATTAGACAGGTCAAAAGTGCCTAATAAATTGCAGACCTGAGTTGTTTGCTCATCCCATGGCTATCACAGCTGTGGATGGGCAGATAGGGTGTCTATACCAGTGTTTCCCACCCTTTTCCAGCCCAAGGCACACTTAGATTAATAAAAATTTTCCACAGCACACCTGTTAAGGCACCCCCTGCATCCTCATACCTATTGTAGCTCATTGCCATGGCAGAATTCTGTGGCACACCTGTTCATTTCTGATGACACACTTTTGTGCCATGGCACACTGATTGGGAAACACTGGTCTATACAAATGATCTGGGGTGGGGGAGGGGTGTTTTAACTAGAGTGGCTCCTGGACAGCTGCTCTAATTAAAATGCCACAGTGTTACATGTATTAAGCATCCCACATTTCAAAATGACTGCAGGGTGCTTTAACTAAAGCTCAGCGAATTTTATTTAAAGTGCCCCTGCAGCCATTTTGAAATGCAGGATGCTTAATACACGTGATACTGAGGCACACTTGAGTGTTCTAATTAGAGTATCAGAGCATGTATATAGGCACCTATAGAGTCTACTTTAAATTACTTAGTTGGTCTACCAAGATCTACTGAAGCTGAAAATACAAGGGAAGAAGTACTGGGTAATTGTTTCAGAGGTGTTGTATCAGGAGAGTTTTTCTTCCACTTAAAGAAATTGATTAAAAATGTATAAACTCTTGGTATACTGATGTTGATGTCCCTTTCTGCTCTGTTCTCCAGTTATCACTACAGATTGTTGTACCATGTGAAAGTGAACAATATTATGAGTATGCTGGAAGATGCTGCACAAAGTGTGAGCCAGGTAAAAATATCAGTGCTTTTGTTCTTGAGGAGTTAATACTTCTTTTTAAAAAATTGCACAAGGGGCTAGTAAGCCATTTTTCTTTTGTGACTCTTCAGTTTTATTTTCACAGTTCCTAGCAAAGCTTATTTAAAGTATGTGCTTCATCTCAAGCACAGCACTAATGTTTAAGCAGTGAAGACTACATTTGCAAGCTGCCTAATTGAAATAGCCAAACTGTGTACCTAGAAGCTATAGAAGCCAGTATGTGCCATGCTCAGACGAGCAGTGAGAGCAACTCTAGCATCATCAAGCAATGCAATGACCCTGCAACCGTAAAAAGAACCACAGAACAGCTGGCTAGTGCATTGAACAGTATCAAAAAGAAGAGATGGCTTTTTACCATAGAAGAATTGGATATGACCCTCTTGAGCAGGCAAGCATGGAAAACCATTACCCACCTTACAGGCAAAGGAACCAAAAAACAACATTGCCCTGTGCCAGCAAACTCCATCACAAAAATACTGTGCAGCAACAGTGAGTGCAGTAACCCAAGCAAGCCACACACAGAAATGATTAGACATCTGACTCATGACCAATTTAAATCACCCTATGTAATCTTAATTTAATTGCCCCCGTCTCTTGCAAAAAGTTTGACACAGAAATTAAAGTGATCAAGACTGGCAAGGCTGCTGGACCAGATATTCCCAGACTTTGTTAGCAAGTTCAGAACCACAAGGAAAAGATGGCTTCAGAAATTCATGTATAAATGTCTAGAAAGTAAAGACTTCTAAAAATCTGAAGAAAAGCTGACATCATTTCTACCCTGAAACCCAATAAACCACCAGGGGATCCGAAGGGCTACCAACCCATCTCACTACTCCACGTTACATACAAACTCAAGGAGTGCATAATTCTGAACAGAAGAGAGAGCATCGTTGATCCCCAGCTCCCAAAAAAAAAAATCTGGCATTTTGAAAAAATGATGCATCACTGACTATATTACAAGTTATATTACTTGCATCTGACATAGAGAACAGTTTTGAAATGAAGTAGAAAACAGGCACAGTCTTATCTGCCTCATTCACCTGTGACTCTGAATGGCATCAAGGCCTCATATATAAACTGCACTCTGTTACCTGACCCCAAGCTATGCACTTTAACCAGAACATGATCTCCAGCAGATCATTCAAACTCACTACCAGCCAAGGGAAAAAAAAGCAGAATATGAACTCTGAAGAACAGAGTCCCGCAAGGGTCAGTGCTAGCACTAATACTTGTCAATGTATATACCTCAACTTACTGCACACAAGATTTAAGTGATATGTGTACGCCGATGATGTTGCCATAGTAGACCAAGGAATAAACATGACAACTGGAAAAGACACTGAGTGCTGATATGAAACTCATCGCTGACCATCTCCACAAGTGGTGCTTAAAGTTGAGCATCAATAAATTGGTATCCTCATTCTTCCATCTGGACAATTGTTACGTCAAAAGCATGCAGAATATTAGAGTAGGCAACCACATCCTTCCCCATGAGCATACCCCAACCTACCTAGGAGTTGCATTAAACTGTTCCCTCACATATAAACTTCACATTCAGAAGGTCAGCAGTAAAGTCTCTGCACAAGTAGCTGCCTTAAGATTGTTTAGCCGGCACAACATAGGGTGCCAACTTTAAAGTGGTCAGAGCCCCTGCACTTGCAATGGTATATGTCCCAGCAGAACACTGTATGCCTTTATGGTCCAGAAGTTGTCACACTAAAAAGCTCAGCACTACTTAATGGTGCACTGAGACTTATAGCAGGTTGCACAACTTACACACAGAGAGATCATATACTCCCTGTACTCTGTCATTAGGCCAAGTGATACAAAAAGGCAGACCCTAATATCATTACTGGCAATAGAGGCAAGAGATGATGAAAATCACCTGCTCTGTCAACTGTTAACTGAAAACCCAAACAGATCTAGAGGCCTAAGAGACTCAAAAGTCATAAACCATTTGTACATGAAGCCCACAAGCTCCTGGAAGAGATTGGGGATGCTGAACCAAACCTATGGGCAACAACAGTGTGCTCCAGCTGCTGGGAAAGGCCAGACCTATTCCTACAGCATTTTATACAAACACCAAACAAGTTCCCCATTGGGCACGACCTTGACAGGAAATCATGGGTCAGGCTGAACAGACTGAGATCTGGATATGGACACTTCAAAATAACACTGTACAAGATGAGCATTTTGGAGATTCTTTAGAGGTCTCCTCCTGGACTCAACTCTTACAGACTTTAATAGGACCATTTGTGTTTAAAGTTATGCAGAAGGCAGGGCAGGGTAGAAATTTATAAACTAACTGGGTCAGAGGGTTATGAGCTTTAGTAGACTACAAGCTACTTAACCAGATGCTGTGAATGGACTTGCATGGAGTAGGGGTACTAAATACTGTAGAAAGGAACAAAGTAATTTAAATAGAAAGGATAGGGAAAAGGATAAGTAATACAAAGGACAAGGAAAGTTATTCTGGTGTTTAAGTACTACACTAAGTTGTGACTTGGTGAAGAATGGACTTGGAATGATAACTTTCCCAGTTTGAATGTTAATTCCAATAGTGTAGCTACACGTGGTCTGTATTCTTTAGAGACCCTTCACTGACTGGTAAGTGGTTTAACTTTTTCCCTCCTCTCCTCAGGAAAGTATATGTCTGCTAAATGCACTGCCACTTCTGAGACAGCATGCCAGCCTTGTGGTCCAAATGAGTATATGGACACCTGGAATGAGGAGGACAAATGTTTACTTCATAAAATATGTGATAAAGGTGAGTTGTTCATACAGAGGCATCGTGAATCTTTTAATGCAAATTAGTCCCCCATGAGGATGGAAAAAAGGAGCTTATACCCCTTTGGTTCCTTTGAAAATCTGTCACAACTCTTATACCACTACTAGTAGATTCATTTCCACTGCTATTTGCTGGGCTGTGGGGGTTGGCATGTAGAGATGTGTCCCTGCCCACCACAAGATATGGGCATCTCAGCCTCCCAATTCAAGCATCATTAGGCTCCTAGCAAAGATGCCACTTTGAGTTGGCACAGTGAGGAGCCTTGTCCCTGCCAATATCTCCAGAGCTTTTCAAAGGATGATACAGCTCCCACAAAATAATTATTTTGCACCAGGCATTGAAGAAGCATGAGAAGTTCAGTTAAAAATCCATAGCCAGTTGAACAATTTTTATTTCCATCTGCTCTGTCATTTAGGGAAAGGTTTAGAAGAAGTGAATCCAGGAAACAGGACATTCCAACGGCAATGTGCATGCCATGCAGGATACCACTGGGATGACGCGTGGGATGGCTGCAAACGAAATACAATATGCACTCCAGGGTTTGGAGTTGAGCATCCTGGTAAGAGATAAGGATGGATGGTCCTATAGGGGAATCTCCAGATCATGTCAGGAGATGGAACACAATTGGTACAAAGTAATTTCCAGCCTTTTAAGAGAAAAGTGGTTTGGGGGGTCTTAGGCTATGTTGAACGGAAAAGTGAATTTGTAAGTTTATTAAGTGTCTCACTGTTTACAGTTTGCATGCTACTTTGGACAGGAAGGAGCTTGGGAATTCTCATTTTAAGTACATTCTTAGGTGAAGTGAAGCTTGCAAGATTTTCAGATTTGAAATAGCAGTGGGAGGCTTTGCTGCACTCCCAGTTTAAAACAATATTTGATTTGCAATAAAAATTGCACCTGTGTCTGCTGACAAATGTGCAGCTCCCCAGTCTAAATCATGGCACTTCTCAGAAAGCGCCATAAGTTAAACTGACCCTCCTGACCCCAAAAACATTTGCTGTTGGGTTAGGGTGGGGGATCATGCTCCAATTTGGATCTGATCCAGCCAAACACCTATGTGTCTGCAGTTTCTCTCTTCTAGCCCTGCCTCCCTCCTCCCGGCTCCAGTGCTGTCTGCAGGATAGGAGCAGGGAGGGAAGGGAGCTCAGCCTGGGGTTTGCCCAACCTACACTGGAGTGGGGGCACATGGCTTGGAGTCCCCCTGCCTTAGGGGACTCCAATCCACCTGCCCCCGCTTCTAGCACAGGCTGGGCAAACCCCAACCTGAGCTTCCTCCCATCAGGCAGACAACACTGGGGGTAGAGCTGGGCTGCACCAGCCCAGCTGCCTGATCAGACAGAAGTTAATGAAAGTGCTCTGCTTTGGAGCGCCTTCAACTGAACCCTCATATAATGGGGATTAATTTGTCATGCCACTGGGGAGTTTTAAAGCACTCCGCAGCTGTGAACTTTTGTTAGGATATGGCTCTATAGTGCTTTCAAGGGCCCGATCATGCAACAAATGTAACTTCTGTCTGCACAACTGGTTTTATGTATGAATTCAGTGAGGTCTCAGGAAGTAGGTTGTGTTGAATGATACAGACCTCCCTGCATTCAACTTCAAGACATTACAGGTGGTTAAAAAGTGGTGAACACCTTTTGAAAAGTTTCAGTATGCTTATGTGGTGTGTCTTACAGCTCAAGCAGCTCCAGGGTTTTGCTACAAATGTTACAAATAATTCACCTCTGTCTTTACAATAAGTGAGAGTGAATTTAAGGCTAAACAAAGAACTTTGCACAGGGAAATTAGAAGGGGAATAACCTTGAGCTAATAATAAATGATGGTAGAAGAGGAATACAGAGCATAACACAGAAACTGCACAGAATTCAGTGTTGCATCTGCCATCAACAAAGGAAATTCTCCTCTGGTCTAGCTGATACTATGTTCATTACTGTAATGGCTGCATTTTTGTAACAGTGATCATCTAAAGTCACACAGAAGGCAGAGTAGAGATGCATCTTATACACTAACTATATCAGAGATACATAAGCTTTTGTGAGCCAGAGTTCACTTCATCAGGTGCTGATAGATCACAGTAGTCATACAAGTTAATGGCATAGTTAAGGTAGCTGCATTAGTATATGGATGGTCATTAGAGTGGCATTCCCAGCAGTGTGTTGTTTCACCATCAATTCCAGAGTTGTTTTTCCAAGTGCTGAAAGTTTTTCATTTTCCTCATATAAAGAGGCACTTAATTTGGCACAACTCTTTGCCCAGATTTTACCTCTTGTTACTTCCTCCAGTGTAATTTCCTCAGTTTTAGGAAAGTTTGTTTTGTTTTGTTTTGTTTTTTTTAAAGAAAAAAAGAGAGACCCCCCTCCCTCCCCCTCCAGTTCCTCTCCTCGGCAAATTTATCTTTTCCAAATTTGAGGTGAAATTTCAGAGGCTAAAATCTTTTTGTTTCCTTTACCACAGTCCAGCAAGACAAGGACACCATATGTAAGCCATGTCTTCCAGGGTACTACTCAGCTGTGTCTTCACCCACCGAGGGGTGTAAGTCCTGGACCAAGTAAGCACATTCTCCTTACAGTATAATCATGGGAGTTGCAAGGCTTCAAGACACTTGAGCAATAATGGATTTTCAGCTGAAGAACATCAGGGCGATTGTGGCACATTCAATGAGCTACTTAGCTGGTGTTCCTATGACCAGTAGCCATATTTTTTTATGCCAGAGATTTTTTTATGCCAGATAAAGTGTGGGGATGAATTTTGCTAGAAAAAAGCAAGTGAAAGGAATTGTAGTAAAGAACTGTTGAGTTAAAGCTTATTCTATGGCTCATGGGCCATTTATCTGCAGTGTAACAAGCCCATTGGAATCAATGGAAAAGCTCCCATTGATTGCAGTTAACTTTGGAGCAGGGCCTTGAGTCTGGATACTGGAGCGCTGTGCTGTGTCTGGGGAGTGAGGGATGGGGAGGTGAAGGAGTCAAAAGTGGGAAGTCCAACAGGGCTTTCCCTCATTCCCAACCACTACAGCTGCCCCTACACGTCCCAGTGCAGTCATCCATTGTTGGGAGAAAGGCCCTGGGTCTTTAGAAGGGTCGTGTTCTGGGCAGGCTGACAGAACCCCCTTGATGTGCACAAATAAGAAAAAAGAAGCAACATATTTAACACTTCAACGAACTTGAGCAGAACTTGATGAGATGAAGAAAAGGCACCTTTAGCTCAAGGGCTTTCTCCCTGCTAAACTTAAAAGTTGCCTATACACATGCTTGGGGGAGGGGGTGTTAATTGGAGCAGTTTCTGGACAGCCACTCTAATTAAAATGGCTCACCGTCACATGTATTAAGCCCCTGCACATTTCAAAATGGCTGTGGCATGCTTTAACTAAAGCTCATTGAACAAGGTTTAGATAAAGTACCCCTGCAGCCATTTTGAAATGCACAGGGGCTTAAAACATGTGACAGTGAAGCAACGCAGAAGCATTCAAATTCGAATGTGGAGCGGACTTGATTAATTAAAGACTTGCGTTCTAATTAGTATGCGAATGGGCATATCTATAGGCACCCAAAAGACCTACCGGAAATGAGAGGTGTTCACACGCTTTCTGAATTTAAAGGTTGCAAGCATCTTTTTTTAACAGGAAGTGTTGGACTGTGGACAGATATAACATTTGAAATGTTTCATATAGCTTTGGAGCACCTTTGAAACGTTTCAGAAGATGAGTATACAGGCAGATACCTGATTAAATGCTCCAAAAGTATCTGAAGCATAATAAAAATGAACCTGGAGGGAACAGGTACTATGTTACACTGGTTTGTTCAAGGTTATGTGTATTAAGCAGGTTGGTCCGTCAGGCATCTCGCAATACAGCCCTCTTTCCCCTTTCCCTCTTCCCCCATGGCTTCCCACATTCTGGCACCCTGTGATCTCCCTGTATCTGTGGTTGCCAGTGTGACAGGAGCTGCCTGCAGTAGCCAGGGTAAGGGGAGTGCTCATAGAAAGTCTACTCCATCCTCTCCAGCATGTTTGCCCATTAGGCAGGTGAGGAGTAGAGCCGCAGGATGCAGAAACCCCATGAGGTTTCTGGGAGAGTGGAGAGTATGGCTACTGCTTACCACTTAGGCAATTCTAAAGCACACTGGAGGAAGGGTGCACCAAGGGGTTATACGTCTGTCTGTGACTGAAATGCTCCATTTCTTTTTGATAGTCTTTGAACCCTGTTATACTTTGATGCATGTTAAACTTTACATCTGTCTGTACCCTTAGATGTATGGGGCTTGCAATGTGTGATGATCCATCACCTTTTTCTTTATTTTTTAGCTGCACGGCTCTGGGCTTTGAAGTCCGAGTTCCAGGGACCACACGTTCAGATGCAGTGTGTGAGGAGCTTAAGAGGCCCAACCAGCCAGAAGGTGCTATATGTCATTATACAGAATTATCCATCAGAAAGTGTCGGTAGGATCTCCTAAAGAGGCTCAGCCTTCTGTATCCACTTAAGTGGACTCTAATGAGGATCAGCAGGCCTACTGAAGATCCCACTCACAATGTTTTGATAGTAAAGCTTGTTTTAAGCCATTTTGAATTGCAGCTGCTTGTGAGAAAGTATAGCTATGGTCTCTGTCGTGTGTAGGTCTTTCTGCCTTGTATTGAAATCACACGCCAAACAAACTTATTATAATGCCTTCTAACTCTCATCATGGTTTCAGCACTGACATTGTTTGCAGTCCAACTTTTAACAATAAAACAGGTACTGACTCCTCTCCATGCACCTCTGGTAGAGAGGGGGATGTAGTTGGCTAAAGGTAGCCTACAGCACTTGACAGCGAGGCCCATTGTCCCTTTTTTAAATCTTTAACATGGATGGGCTGCCCAGAGCGCTACGTGTCTCAGCGTGTGGTGATCCACCATGATCCGAGCTGAAGGCCAAGTTCTGCATGTCAGGGCTTGTACTCTTCATGAACTACAAGTTTGTATCTTTTGTAGGTAAATCAAGCATAGCTCTTAGGCTCCCGGCATTCTGAGTGAACCATTCAGTTCAGCAAAATGTGAACGTGCCTGCTTTGTGCTTCCTTCAGTGGTTCTTTTTCAGATGGCTTTGGTAAGGGTGGGTTTAATGAAGCTCCTTGTTCCATAACCTGCTTTTTTAGCAAGCTTGTGGGGTTATTGTGGAAATTGTAGAGCAAACCGTGGAAGAACAATCTTATTGCTTGCCAAGTAAGAAAAGTAAATAAGGAGTGTATTGCTGCTGCATATTCATCTCCTTTTTTTTTTTTTATTCTCCAGACACAAACAAGATTTTTTATGTATTGATTGTTGTACCAGTTCTCGTGGCATTCATTGGCATCATTATCCTTATTGCCTACTACAAAAATAAAGGGAAGGCACTGACAGGTACGTTGTAGCTAACAATTTATAGGAATTCATCTTTGTGTGAAGCCTGCATCTCTATTGACTGTGTCAGCTGTTTCGACTAGGGATAATCATCAGAGTAAAAAATTCCGACACTGATATATTTTACCTAGTGCAAAGCAGGACTGCAGGTTCTTTTCTAAACATATTAGGCTCGTGCTGATGTCTGAGGCAGGATATCAGTGCAAATCACTGTGACACCTTGTCACATCAGCCAGGAACACTGTCAGAAGTGGCAACAGTCCTTCGATATGAGGAAGACAGAACCAGTAACATGGTACCTTTGTCAAAATGACATCTTCAATACACTGCAGTCACATCTGAGAATGTGAGCAAGGCTGTTGCTGGAACTAGAACTAACGTTCTGGCCCAATATTTCCACAGTAGCCCAGAAACAGCAAATCTGTATTTATTGCTGATGACATTAAATATGAACACAAGGAAAGTGCTGCAGCAATTGCTGAAATTCACTTTAAGCTTGGGGCTAGAATAGATTTGGGCAAACTGTTGTTCCCTTTGTTTTGCCTTCAGCCTGGATTTGAAAATCTCATATTTTTCCTTAGTTCCCCTTACATTTTCCCAGCCCTCCCCCTTTCCCTTTCCCTTCTCCCCAGTCTCCTGCTGAAGTTTTTGTGTGCTTGCATGTGTGCGCACACCATTCCTTTCTGCTAGGTTTTACCTGAACTATTCAACAGTATTGCAGAAATAGCCCAGCACTACCTTGCTAATTGTTTGTTGTGCTAAATCCAGGATTCTTTGGATGAGCAGAAAGAAATATGGTAACCCTCTCTTAGCAAATCAAACATTTTCAAGGCAGGTTACTAAATTAACCTTTTAATTTGGATTTCCATAGCGCTGCAGCCACTCATGAAAGGTCTTTCATCCTTTTTAAGACATTCCAGACTGACCCTTTTAATAGTCGCACTGCTGAATAGGATCTGTGTAGCCACAGAAGCCCATGGAACTGGGAGGAGCCAATCTGTGCATCAGCGTGGATATTAAATGTGTGCTAGGGAACTAGTGAACTAACAGCACAGAAGAAGCAGTGGCTAAATACCTGATGCATATTTAGATAGACAGAAAACCGGCTTGAGATTAAAAACATACGCAAGACTGAAGCAGCACAAAATTGCCTGAAGGTATCCCCCTAAACTAGAGTCTCTCTTCCCATTAAACAGCGATCACAATAATAAAAGCATCATTGAGTGCAAGCCTTTTCCTTGGAAGATGTTCTGATTAATCAGGTTTCCCAATTAGATACATCCTGATTAAATGGAGTGTGCTGTGTTTTAACCTGCTATCCCATGGCTTTTGTCTGAGATTTCCTAGCCCTCCCTCCCCTGGTCTCCTCATTCCTTTTTGCAAATTTCTTTGGGTCATTCATGTGACATCTCTTGAAATAGACTAACCAACTGTACCATTATAACCAGGTCGGTATTGGGCCAGTCATAGCCTGGTGACATGTGAGCAGGACTGAAACCCTGGTTGATGTGGAACACAGTTTAACCACATTCTATTTTAGAACTCACAAGACATTTGTTCCAGAAGAAGACATCCAATTCCAGTTACAATGAATCCTCAGCGAGGCCGTCACTTGGACACTTGAGCAAAGTCAATAAATACAATCGTGACTGCTTAGTTTTCATATAACATGGTGGATTATGAATAACTGTATATTGTTTGATCTGTGATTAACCTAAGAATGTAGCTATGGTGCTTAGAAGGCTATTTTGTTTTCCCTAC